GTGTTTAACGGGTTGCTTTGTGCGAGGCCCTGTGCTGGCTGGAGACCGGTACGCGGCCTCACGTGTCGTGGGCTTTCATTTAAAAGTAGAGCAAAGCAATTGTAGCTGGGAGGGTGAGGTTTGCTTCCCCCAGTGAGGAGATAAACTCCCTCCGATCATGTAATTAGGTCATTAGCGCTGAAGGTCCAATTCTCTTGTTTTCCAGGATGCGTTACGTCGCAGCTTACCTTCTAGCAGTCCTCGGTGGCAACGAGTCTCCCACGTCAAAGGACTTGAAAAAGATCCTCGACAGTGTTGGCATTGAGACAGACGATGAACGCATGAACAAGGTGGCATTGCCTCTTAATTCCAGAGGGTCACGTCCAAGTTAGCATCAGACCTTGGAGCTGTTCCCTTGGTTTCAGTGTTTCTTGAGCTGCCTTGCTGTTGATCTAGCCTTATTTTGTTCAGGTGTTTGCTGATTCTTACATGCATGATTTCTAAAATGCTGCTTAACCAATCAGAACTATTTTTACAACTTTTTTTTAGAAGTCTGGCTTTCTTATTTAACACCTGTACTCCGCAAAGATCTCTGTCAGTTGTTGCCGACTTCTGACTATTCAATCTAATAATTTTCAATGGGATGGTGGCTACAGCTAAGTATGTATTAAAAATAAGTTCTATTCTGACATAATGTATAATTTGCACTTAATGTTTAATATTGGCTTTTGGTCAGTACTGATTCAAAGCTAACACTTTTCAAGGCCTGGTATTCAGTAACAAATTCTTGTTTAGTGTACTGCAAAGAAGCATTTGTTCCTTCACTAAGAAACAGGCAAATTCTAATATGGACATTAAAGGTATTCAATAGTAATATGTAGGAAGATTTTGGAAATTAATGCTGAAATGGTTGTGTTTAAAAACAGGCTTTTTAAGAAAAGAGTATCTTAATTAGAATGTTTCTTGTGATATAATAGACATTCAACCTTGGGACCTTAAAAACAAATGTCTGGGAGGCGGGAGGGGGGAGAAGAAATGGTCATATCACCTGCTCCATACTTGTATGCAGAGTGTTTCAAGACAGGTGGAGGGAAAAACAAGTCACTTTCCCAGCTGGAGACAGTGTTTTACCGCAGGCCCAACCAAATGATGGATTAACTGAGCTGACAGCATCCTTATTATGGTTTGGGATGTTGTTTTGAAGTCGTCCTCCTGTTTAAACGCCAGGTCTTTTGGCTTTGGCTTGTTTATGGCCTTCATAAATCAGTTGTTTTCTCTGATAGTCGGAAAGCTTCTCTGGAATTTGTTTTGGTCACGATTAATAAATAATTTTCTATTTGCATTGGCTGTATCTTATGCCAGTGTAAATCTAGTGAGGTCTTCAAAACACCTTCCTTCTGCATGAAGCAAGCAGATGTGCACGGCATTTCACAGATCACACGCTCTGTGTAAGCAGGAGGTGCCTGTTGAAAAGCTCTTGATTAATGTCCTTTGGTTTTGGCGGCTTGGCAGTGTTCAGCACTGACTCCTGGTATCTGGGACTTGCCAGTAAGGTCTATGGCATTCTTTTTTTTTTTTTAAAGTACTTGCTTGCTTTAGCAATATATGGGTTTGTGTTTTCCTTTCCTCCTTTCCATCCTCATCATTGTTGTTCTACAACAATGGTAGTAAAATTGAAGTTGGGACTCTCTGTTCCAGTGCAAGGATACAATAGCCAGTTTGGCTGTACATTTGGTAACACTAGGAACGGGACCCTGTTGGTCTGGGGCCCAATGCTTCAGAGCCTCCCAGTGAGTATTAAGCAAGGAATGTTAACAGTCCCTCAGTGACTCGCAGACCATTAGTGGGGTTTCCTAATTGGCTCCACAACATCTGTGTATCCTTCTTTCTGCAAGGTCCTTGGATTCATTATGAATTTATTATAACAGATTTGATGACAAAGCTTTCACAGAAAAGTATAAAAGATTTAGCTGAAGTTTTCATTTCTATGTCCTGTTCCTTCCACTGAGAAATAAGGAATGTTGGGGCTGTCTAAGCAGCAGGATGGAGGCATTGTCCACGATGATTAATCAGTACTTGTTTAAATGTAGCTTATACTCATGGTGTTTTGAATCTATTAACATTCTGAACTTAATTTACACAGGTTATTAGTGAGCTGAATGGAAAAAACATCGAGGATGTCATTGCTCAGGGTAAGTCCAGTCTCTGAGAGTCACAGATAATTGCCTCTACTACTGGGGTAACTTAGCACTGAGAGTGTAGAATTGCTGCCAACTCCCTGATTATTCATCAGTTTAGCTTTGCTGTTGAGAACTTCCATGGTGGATCTCAGCTGAAATGACCAAAATCCAGGTCCATTCTAATTCCCTGCAGGTCAGTGCCAGTACCTGCTGGGTTTCGCTTGTGGACGACATTAAACTGGAGAACTTAAGTGTGTATGAGCTTACTGGTAGTCTGCTCATGACATAGTTTTCTGGACATGTTGATCAGAGAAAGAATTAGCTGTCCTTCCAAGTTCTCTGGGACATTTTTTGTTTTGCATTTACCCATTTGTATGTACCAATGATGTAAAACAGGAAGAACAGACTGTTAAATGTAAATAAGTGTCAATTCACATTAAGGGTACAGTTACACCCTCTGTGATTAATACAAGCCTCTCCAGTACACATAGTTTCTAGACCTCCCCATGTCTGGCATTTCCTTTTCTCTAAGGTAGGACTCTTGAGTGCTGACTTCTGTAGAAGCTTCTGCTCTTACCTGCTGGCTCTTACCAAAGCTGGAACTTTTAACGTTAATTAACTGGGTCATAGGGCTGAAACAAAGCAGAGCTGAGGTAGTGCAAAGGTTTCTGATTAATTTCTATTTTTTTGCAAGTGCGTAGGCACGAGGGAACTTTTAGGTATATATTTGCTTAAAGGTTGCCAGGACTTTGCCTGGCCTTGCTGTTACGAGCAGTAACTGGACATTTCTATCCGTGTGGTCTGAAGTCCTAAGAGAGCCATTATGCATGTGCTTACAACAGACTTATGCTATCTCTTTCTGTAATACTTTTTCTTCCAATAAAGAGTTTCCTTGAACATACTGACATGCATATGAAACATGTTTGTTTACTTGGCTAGTTTATTAGAGCTTGAAGTAACAGGGAATTATTTAGAAACTGATTCCCAGAAATTGGAATACAGGCAAACATACTGTGTACGCGACCTCTGAATGCCAAGGGAGCCTTGGTATGTGAAAGGCAGATGCCAGAGAACTAGCTCACTTTCCAAAGACGAGCATAAATCAGAAGTCAGTTTGCTAATTTCAAAGGAGATGCAACAGGGTTCATAGGGTGCTGGAGAATTTGTTTAAAATACTGTACTCTTTGCCATAAATACATCTTTTCCCTTCGCCTTCTCTCCTGTAAGTGTGATCCAGTCATGCCCTCACAGTGGTCTATACTGTTTTTTAAAAAAAAAAAAGGGGGGGGGAGGGAAGGAGGGAAGCCAGTACTACCTATATGTTATTTTTAGGTTATATTGAAATTACCCATTTCTCGGCTATTACGCTGCATTCAGAAAACATACGGTTTTTCTGTACATGTAAAATTGCATGTATTTGCTACTATTTTTATATGACGGTTTTGAAAAAAAAGGGGGACTTTGTGTACAGAAGAAAACTTACTAATAACATGCTGTCAGCGTTCTCACGATAAGCCTCTGTGAATCTTAAACTCTTGAGTTTTTTCCACAGAATACTTTATACTTTCTTATCATGGGTGCAGCCTCTTGTTCTTTTCAGCTAATAGTGACAGGTTCAGTCCATGAGACACATCATCTGTTTTTTCTGTGCTCTCATTTCTCTTCCTTTTCACCTTACCTCTGTCCTTGTGATGAGCATTTAAATACTTTCTCTTTTGTCTCCCTCAGGTAATGGAAAACTTGCCAGCATGCCGGCTGGGGGAGCAGTGGCAGTCGCTGCTGGAGGAG